ACTACAAGTACTTCTATTACTACTACTACTACTACTACTACCATTACCATTGTTGTTGCCATAGCCACCATAGCATTATTATTACTATTATCATTATTATCCTTTTTATTATTATTATTGTTATTAGTTGTATTATTACTATCATTGTTATTATTATTATTATCATTATTATTATTATTATTATTATTATCATTATTATTATTATTATTAATATTATTACGATTATTTTCATTACTACTGATAGTAGCTGTAAAAGTACTTCTATCTTTACAACCACTGAAATTTTCCTCATAAACACTAGTAACAGTAATAACTATGATCATCACTATTATGAAAATATGATACTTTATAATCCTTATCATTATGATTCTCTTTCATCTGTGCAATAAATAAACAAATAAATAAACAGGCAAAGACATAAACAAACACATAAACAGATATACAAATAAAGAGATACATGAATAAAGAAATAAGTAGACAGTATAACAAATAAACAAAAGAATTAAATAGATAAGTGAATGAATGAGTGAATAGATAAATAGATAGATAGAGAGATAAGCAAGGTAATAGATATATAGGAATTTCCCTGAGATCCTTGTTATCTTGAGAGAGTGACGTCATATGCAACACGAATTTTCAAGGAAAATATTAATGGATGTGTATAGTACGTTTTTGCCTTCCTTTGTTTATCATTATTACATATATTATCTTTTGTTTTATTCTATTTTGTCTTTTATGCTAGTGGGGGGGGGGGTAAATAGTAAATAGTAAATATTTTGTTTGTTTGTTTGTTTTCATTACTAGGGCTTGGTAGATTGAATTTTGGGGGTTCTCTCTCTCTCTCCTTTATCTTATTCCTCTCTCTCTCTTTCTATTTACTTACCTCATCTCTCTCTCTCTCTCTCTTTCTCTCTCCTTATTTTTTCTCTCTTTCATTCTTACATTATCTTCTCTCTTTCCCTCTCTCTCTTTTTTATTATCTTCTCTTTCGCTCGTCTTTCTAACTTCTCTCTCTCCCTCTCTCCCGCTCTCTTTTCTCTCTCATCTCTCCAACTCCCCTCCCCCCCCTCTCTCTCTCTCTCTCATCTCTCTCTCTCTCTCTCTCTCTCTCTCTCTCTCTCTCTCTCTCTCTCTCTCTTTCTCTCTCTCTCACTCTCTCCCTCTCTCTCTCTCCTTTACCTGTCTTTATCCCTCTTTGTATTTTCATCCCTCTCTCCCTCTCTACCTTTATTCATTCTTCCATTCATTCACTTTCGTCATTGGTTTACAAGACACATACGTTCACACACAAGGAAATTTACATCATACTATAAGGACGTTTTTCCTAATATCCGAAATGACTGTGACGTGGAAAGATGTGAAACAAACTAAGTTCTCATTCACATACGCCACAGGATGCTTGCTCTCTCTACGATTCGGTACTTTTGTTGTCTGTCTGTCTGTGTCTGTTTATCTGTTTATCTCTTTCTCTGTCTGTCTGTCTGTGTCTATTTATCTGTTTATCTCTTTCTCTGTCTGTCTGTCTGTCTTTCTCTGTCTCTGTTTATCTGTTTATGTCTTTCTTTGTCTGTCTGTCTGTCTTTATTCTGTCTCTGTTTATCTGTTTATGTCTTTCTCTGTCTGTCTGTCTGTCTTTCTCTCTCGTTCTCTCTCTCTCATTCTCCTTCCTTCTCTCTCTCTCTTTGCCTGTCTTTGTTCCTCTCTCTCTCCCTCTCCTTTTTGTCTGTCTGTCTCTCTCCCTATTCCCCTCCCTCTCTCTTCCTCTCTCTCTCTCTCCCTACCCTTCCTATCACCTCCTCCTCGCCACTATCTCTCTCTCTCCCTCTTCCCACTCCAAATCTGAAAAAAAATAGAAACGCAAAAAGGCTAAAAATGTGAAATAATATCCACTGATATTTTTTTTTCCTGTTATCTGAGCTTTGTCTTTGGTGCTTATGTTTAAATCTCTCTTTTTCTCCTTTGCTTTTTTATCGTTTTCTATGTGTAGATATTCATTTTTGTCCTGGAGTTTCTAATTCACCCGCTAAAAATCACTCGCTGGTAGTCGTAGTAGTGGTCGTAGTAGTAGTAGTAGTTGTGGTCGTAGTAGTAGTAGTGGTCGTACTAGTAGAAGTGGCCGTAGTAGTAGTGGTCATAGTAGTAGTGGTCATAGTAGTTGTAGTAGTGGTCGTTGTAGTAGTAGTAGTAGTAGTGGTCGTAGTAGCAATAGTGGTCGTACTAGTAGAAGTGGCCGTAGTAGTAGTGGTCATAGTAGTAGTGGTCATAGTAGTTGTAGTAGTGGTGGTGGTAGTAGTAGTAGTAGTAGTGGTAATGGTCGTAGTAGTAGTACTAGTAGTAGTAGTACTTCACAAACAAAACAAACGTTTTCACAAACATATATATGTATATACTTATGAATAGATTGATATATAGATATACGCTTTTCCTTATTCCCTTTCTGGTACTGGCAAGCAAGACCGGATGAATAACTTTCCCATAACCAGTCTGTTTTCTTTCCTAA